GCAAGTTAGTGCCCAACATTGGCTCGCCTTGTGTTGGCTAGTAAGGTGCTGGCCTGCGTACCCCACAGGTGGAACCCCAGCCTTTTTTGTGCATCCCGCGCACCTCTACATTTTTTTTTTATTTTTTTAAATTATTGAAAATATTTTTAATTTTTGAAAAATAATAATAATAAAAACATTTTTCTAAAAAAGACTTTTGATACAATAAAAACTCTTTTTCTTTCAAAATTAAATTCCTATTAAGAGTCCAAGTTGGTCATCCATTAAGTGTTATGGTTGTACCATACTCTTCTAAAAATTATAAAATTATAATTAAATAATAAACGATTTATTTATTTAATCATAGTTATTTGTCCAAGTCAAAATAAGATTTCTTATTGAATAATTATTCTATTGTGTTATTATTCATCTTTAATTAAAAAGAATTAATAATAAAATAAAAAAATCCTAGTCAAACATGGCCTCTTATAATTTATCAAGAAATTATGATTAATTATAAATAAAGAATAAACTATTTAATTCCTCCAATATTATTTTATCTCAAAACAATAATTACGTTAATGAATAAATATTTTTCATTTTAAAACAACTTTTGCCTTAAAAAAAATTTATTCTTTAAGATAATTTTTAACTTACCAAAAATAAAATAATATAATTAAGACATCTCTTGTCTTAAATCAACACATATGCTATTGTCTAATTTAAGACAACTCTTGTCTTAATTAAGATAATGTATGTACCTTGTCTTAATACATTGTCTTAATTAAGACAATACATAAAATTATCAATTTGAATATTAATTTAATAAATTAAAAATACACACATTCTAATTTAAATAAGTTGAATTCTATGAAGATAAATAGAGAATTTATTTAGACATAGATATTCTAAGCTCCAATAAACTTAACATTACTCTAAATTTCATTAAGATAATTCAAGTTTATTAACCATGAAATCACTCCATATATTCATCATTGCACTCTTGGATTAACTACAATTACAAGAAATGATCCAATGTTCAATATTCAATATTGGTTGTCCTAATTGCAAATCTTATGTTGTGAATTCTTATAACCATCCAATGACAAAATGTATATCATTTTACCCATTATGTCAATTTTTCCCTTAGTCTTGATTCATCTAATTAGTGATCCAATACTCTAAATTTAATCTTTTTAGTATCAAGATGTGATGAGTAGCTAATTCATCAATCTACTAGGCTAAGATTAATTGCCAATCTTTCTAAAATCACTAGAAGTGATGTTAATGCTTTGAATTCCACATTTTGGATATTTGTTTCTAAATAGTTACCTTAGTTATAATCCCAATTTACGAAGTTTAGATTAACAGTATAAGTTGATCATGCTCATGATATATCAAAAATTATAAGGAGATAAAATATGAGTTTACTATTCATAAAGATTTTGATTTTATTATAAATGAATACATAAGTGTGAGATCAAGTTTAAGCAACAATTAAATTTAAACTTGATTCTTACGTGACTCCAGTTTAAATTATAGTGTCATTACTCAAAATTAACTATTTTGATGATTTGAGATTCATCATTCCTTTTGAAGTGAATCTATATACAATAGTCTCAACATAATAAATTGATCAGCTTTATTATATGATTATAAATAATTTTAAATTCAATTAAAATACATATCTCCTATGTATTACTTTTCATATAAATACATTTTAATATCACAATAGAATCATGGTACTTTTATAATTAAAAAATAAATGTTTATTTACAACAAACTTTTCATCTTATTATCAAAATTATATTTTCATTACAAATAAAATAAATAAAATTAAATATAAGAATATATTTGCTTTTCAAGGCACTATGTTCCTAAATTCTTAACATTCTCAACCTTAGGCTTGTCATCCACCATTCTTATTTGTGCACATGTATCCATCCCACCGTTTTGTGTTCCATTAACTATTACATCTTTAAATGAACGTTGTTAAGGAAAATTTTTTGTTGCTCAACCATGAGTTATGTCACGTGTACGTTGTTCCCTTTCCAATGCCTTCTTCACTGTAATTCAATGACTGAAAATATTCATCTCATTACCTTGATGGATTGATGCTTGTTGCTGCCTAGCAAACTCATAACGCATAAAAGCAAAAAACCCACCTCCCCTTCTAACATAACTTGGGACAAATACATCAAACTGATCAAATATTGATTTGATATTAGCCCATGACACTATCAGATTCTCAACAAAAATAAAAGCATAAAGATCTCTTCAACTGTGCCAACTTAGACTGCCCTCGATCCCTTGTGCCCTAAAACCCTACTAACTGTTACCCATGACTACATCTACTCCTCTATGCCTACTTGAAAAAAACTCTTAACTCTCTCTTTATTATTTTTTTTTTGAAAAGTTAAGTTATCTATTTGTTTGGATATTTAACTGTAAACATTTAAATATTTTTAAATATTTTTTAATCTATGCCTAGGACAACCCTTGAAAGGCCGTGGAACAAGTCTGTCTGGCCCCATTTTGACATGCAAAGGTGTTACATCTTTGTTTTAAAAGATGAGGATAATGGGGATTCAAAACCTGAAATTCTTGCTAGCGACATATTTCCTCAGCCTGGATTCCAACTGACAAACCTGTGAAAGTCGAGTGACTGATTAAATTCTTAGTAAAAGATTACTATCACTAGTATTATCAACTTATTTATTTTCTTCTACTGTTTGTTTCAAGCATGTTAAGTTAAGTAGGTTGACTTTTTGTTTATCATTCAATTAAAAGTTCCTCCCTCTCAAGCTTACTAAAATGACCCATTTGGTTGCTGCAACCATAGAAGAAGATACGGAGTTACCGAGTCGATTTGAATTTAATATTACTTTTTGAATTAACCAAATCAAATAAAAATCGATTTAATCATTTAAGTCAATATCCAATTAATACAACCAAAAAACAGAAACCCACGAATTTGATCAAATTCAACAAATGATTGACTTGACCAATTTTAAGTCGAATTGATCACCGGTTAATATAAAGGAACTTGTGCAGGCGATGCCTAATTGCTTTCAAGTCTGTGTCCTCAACCACTCGAACGTATCAACCTTTGCCACGGTAAAGGTAAACATTCCCTTCAGGTACCCAATAAGCTTAATTTGCCTGGTTTGATTTGCTTTAGCATATTAAGTTACAACTGCAGCTTATTTCCCACTCCGGAAGATAGCAAGACAAAAGGCTGTGGTCAAGTACTAATACTGTGCTGGTGGTTTTTATTGGGGTCGCCATGGTTTAGCTCCTCGGCCAGATTATTTTCCCCTTAGGTCTCCCTTATCGATTATAATCATCATTGGGTATCCAACATCACATTCTTTGGTCTTTTTGACTTGTTGGCCCTGGCCTACACACGAACAAAGTACAAACTTAGAAGGGAAACAAAAGAAAGAAAAGTGGAAGAGAACATAATGAAGGGCACCTACAGCTTCCACTCTCAGGAAAAAGGAGAGGTTTCGCCATCCATATATATTTGTTATGCATGGCATTGCTGCATTATTCAGGTTCCCTAAAACCTGTCAAATTATTGACTTTGGGCTTCTTCAAAGTAGAAAGCAGCTTTCCTTTATCAAGAAGATACATCTTTGGAGTGAGAATTAATTTGCAAGCAAAGCTGGAACACTAAACAAAGAGCACCACAAAGTATCATTGTAGTGATGCGGGTCCGGCAAGCATCCTTTGCATTGTATCTACCAAATGTTAATCAATTGAATTTGAACAGCTGCTGGTTTTGCTTTTAACACTTCAACGTATGAATGCATTCAAGTCTCTATGTCCACAGAGCTGGCCCCAATACTTCACTAATTTATTCACACGGTAGAAGACTTATAAAAAGATGTGAAATCCTTTCATGTAAAGTTTGAAAGCTGCTAGCTAGTTTTATTATTATTAATATTATTCTTTTTTATATTTGAAAACTTGTCATATTTTTCATTTAGGCCTTTATGGGGATGTAGAAAATAGAGTGTATGTGTTCCAAAACGGCATAATCTTCTCAATTTTAAATTGACAGAAATTTTTTTAAGCATATTACTTAAAAATATTTTTAAATTTTTACAAATTTTTATTTTATATTTTTATTTTAAATTAAATAAACTCTCATAATTGATGTAATTAATTATTTAGTTAAATTATCATTTATTATTTTATATCATTATGACGTTAAGATGTTAATATGCAATGTGGCATGACGCTATAGCGTAATATCATATTATATGATTTTTTTTTATCTTTTACATCAACGCGTCAAATGAGTATAAAATAATAAATAATATTTTAATTAATAATAATTAATCAACTCTTAATTATAAGAATCTATTTACCTCAAAATAAGAATATAAAAATTTGATTAAAATTGAACCCCTTATAAGCTTAAAGCTGCTTGTTTTTTTTTATAATTGAGGAGGAGGATTCAAACCTTACTCTTTAAGTTAGTGATAATGTACCAATCAATGAGACAAATGCTCATGTGTTTATTTCTTTTGATACAATTACTAGAACAAACAAATGTTCTGATCTGAATTATCCATACCTGGTTGTTTATATTTATGAACGCCTTGCAGCTATTCATCTGAGGCAAGGAATAAGTTTCCCAAGTACCAAAATTTCTGCCCCAGACTTGGAACCTAAAAGCTTAAACCTCTAAAGAGACTATCACCAAGGCAAGTGGCTTTCTGAAATGTTCTATGCCCAAAACGAAATATACAGAAGCTAAGGGCAGACACAGAAATATACCAGTAGGAAAAAGATAAAGTAGGAGTTGGTTAACTGACGTCATTTTCATGGTCTCGACTTTTAAGTTAAACTTTTAACGACTTTGGTCCACTGGGAGAGAGAGAAAGCGGAGGTGCCATTTTCGTGCTTGCACCTTGAGATGCTTTTCAACTACTGCTACTGTAGCAGTGATGGTGGTAGTAGTAGCGTTAGAGTTGTCTATATGATAGCAAACAATCATCACCAACCTAGAACCATAACAATGAATGCCATCCTTGCCACCCCTTAATCATCACCTGTCTCTTTAATCCCACTCATTGCCTGCCACTCCTCTTTACTCAAGGACTTTCTCTCTTAATCTTATTACAATCCCACCAATGTGGCAAATTTACTTTCTCTTAATCCCCTTCCATTAGCGTTTCGTTAAGGGACTCCACTCTGTTTTTACTCGGAATTTCTCTTCAGTTCTTTGAATAGATATTCCTTCTGTTTTTGGTGAGAAGAGAGGCTACTGCTGGATTCTATGGCCCTGAAATGTTTCCGGGTCAGCTTGACTCTGTTCTGTGGCTTTTGGGTGGTTGTTTTCTGTGATCAAGATGGTATGTGTAATTCGCTTTACACCTTTTGGCTAGTCTGTATTACTAGATTTTATTGTCTGGAATCTCTTTTGCTGCTCATGTACAGTCAAAGTGAATTTGATCCAATTTTCTTGTCTTACTAGATTTCCACTTTTTTGCTTTTTGCTGCTAACTTTTATCATTTGTATACACCTTAGAAATTTGACAAGAAATAACAATTTCTTTTTTCTTTTTGCTTTAAACAACAGAATTTATAGTTAAGGTTCTGTTTCTTGTGCTTAAATTTCAGAGAAGAATGGAAAAATGCAGTTCATGTAGGCCTATTTAGCTGCATCTGGCTTACCTCTTTCTACAATTTGTGAAATTTGCAATTCAAGTTCTTTTTGTTTTGAAAGCTCTGATCTTCAAAGCACTATAGAGCAGCATGGTCTAACAAAATGTCAAAAAAAGAATGTTGAGGCTTTGAATTTGTGGAATTTATGTCTTAATTTACATTCGAGTTTCTATGAGACAGGTTTCTTGAGCTTATCTTGTGGTGGAGCTAGGAGTTATGTTGATTCAGCTAAGATAGCATGGGTCTCAGATAATACCTTCATAAGCACAGGCAACACAACTACCGTTGAGTATGTTGAGGGTACTTCCTCATCCAGTGTTCCACTTCGATTTTTCCCAGAATCTCAAGGTCGCAATTGCTATAAGTTACCAGTAAAGAATATATCATCCGTGGTTCTTGTGAGAGCCCAATTTGTGTATAAGAACTATGATGGACGTTGGAAACCTCCAGCTTTCTCCGTTTCTCTCGGGACAGCTATCACTAGTACAGTGAACCTCACCAATAAAGATCCATGGAATGAAGAGTTCATATGGCCAGTGAGTAAGGACACACTCCCATTTTGCGTCAATGCTATTCCAATGGGTGGATCTCCTGTTATTTCCTCACTTGAAGTTCGGCCACTTCCTCAAGGCGCTTACCAAGGTGGCATGGAAGATTTCCCAAATAAAGCGCTTCGTACGTGTTATCGGATTAATAGTGGTTACACCAATGGATCGCTGAGGTAAAAATATTTAACGACCCTGCTCTATATATGGCTTCTGTGCTCTGTCAGGATGATTGTGATTAACTTCAGTTAAAACAGGTATCCTGTAGATCCATTTGACCGCATTTGGGATGCTGATCAAAGTTACACACCCTTTCATGTCTCACCTGGGTTTGACATTCTTCTTAGCTTCAATTTGTCAAGTCAAAAGGAGAGCCCTCCTTTGGATGTATTGCAGACTGCTAGAGTTCTGGCACGAGAGGATGTGCTACATTATAACTTACCTCTCCAAACATTGGGAGACTACTACATTGTCCTGTATTTTGCTGGCATTCTTCCTCTGTCTGCTTCTTTTGATATATTAATTAATGGGGATGTTCAGCAGTCAGATTTCACAGTAAGTACCTCAAAAGCCAGTACTCTATATTTTACACAGAAGGGAGTCACAAGTCTGGATATTGCACTTAGGAGCATCAGATTCTACCCTCAAATTAATGCATTTGAGGTTTATGAAATTATTAATATTCCATCAGAGGCTTCCTCAACTACAGGTGGCATTTTCTTTCATAAATCTAATGAGTTTTTCTTGCTGACTAAAGCTGACTCCATTATGCATGATTTCCAGTTTCAGCACTTCAAGTTATTGAGCAGTCTACTGGTTTTGATCTTGGGTGGCAAGATGATCCATGCTTCCCAACTCCATGGGATCATATTGAATGTGAAGGCAGTGTAGTGACATCATTGTATGTGCATAATAAATAGTAGCTTTGGGATTTCTTTCTTACCTTACAGACCTACTCATATGGGCTTATCATTTTCTCTTAGGGACCTTTCAGACATCAACTTGAGGTCAATTAGTCCAACATTTGGTGACTTGCTGGATCTTAAAATACTGTAATGTCTTTAACTGTGGATTCTTTGTACTATTAATATTATGGCATCCTTAGGTAAGCACTTCCTTGTACTTATAATGGTCATGTTATGTTTCAGGAATTTGCATAACACGTCACTTTCAGGAGCAATACAAAATCTGGGTAGCCTGCAGCATCTTGAGAAATTGTAATGTCTGTCAAAGTTTTCACCTCTTATTAGTATCTCATATAGCATGTCTAATACCACCTAACTAAATTTTCAGGAATCTGAGTTTCAACCAGCTAACATCCTTTGGTTCTGATTTAGATAGCTTGGTTAACCTTCAAGTTCTGTAAGTTGTAATCTTCTTTCTTTGTTTTGATTGAGATATGCACTCAAAGAATGTTTTCTTATGCAGTCACACAATAATTTTTTCACTATATATGAAAGTAATATGATAAATTATGATTGTACTAATACTGCATTATTATCACTTTTTTCTACATGGAGGGACTTGCATAATAACAGTTTACAGGGAATAGTTCCAGACAGCTTGGGAGAGTTAGAGAATCTACATCTACTGTAAGTGACTTCTATAAATATTGTACTATTTGGTGAAGAACCACATATGCAGAGTTTATTTGTCATAGCCACCCTGTGTTTCACTGGATGAAAAACTGTTTTCTGCATTCTTCAGGAATCTGGAGAACAATAAACTGCAAGGTATCCTCCCCCTATCTTTGAACAGAGAAAGTTTGGAAGTTAGGTATGGCACTGATATTCTTGTTTTTTTCAAGCTATTTATTCATGTGCCCTGATAGATCAACTTTTGTGCAGAACATCAGGAAATTTGTGCCTTTCCTTCTCCACAATGGCATGCAATGATGTCTCATCAAATCCTTCAATTGAGACACCACAAGTTACTATTGTTACCAATAGGAAGCACACTCGACGTAGTCATTTACTAATTATACTTGGTGCAACTGGTGGAGCCTTATTTGCTCTACTCCTTACTTCTCTTTTAGTATTATTGTACATAAAGAAAAGGAAAACCGAAGCCACATATGCTACAAGTATGTAATAGTTATTCACATCGTTGTTACCATGAAAACTGACAACATGATTCTTATATGCACATTATTCTCATATTCAGGTCCAGTGATTGATATGCGAAACTGGAACGCTGCTAGAATTTTTTCCTACAAAGAAATAAAAGCAGCTACAAACAACTTTAAGGAAGTCATAGGTCGCGGTAGCTTTGGATCTGTTTACCTTGGAAAGCTATCAGATGGCAAACTGGTAGCTGTAAAAGTGCGGTTTGATAGAACTCAATTGGGTGCTGATTCTTTTATCAACGAGGTTTATCATCTAAACTTCTCTACAATTTCCTTGTCTAACCATAAAGAAGTGTGAGCTCAGTAATTTTATCAGTATTCCACTGATGAACTTAACTGACGACCATATACAACAGTCATATAGACCATAGATTATCTTTAAGTGTGTATCAGTCTGGCTCATTTTTTCTTGATCCAGTGAGATCTGTCATTCTGCATTGTATGCATGTACTGTCTATTAAATCTAAAGTATGCAGTTTGATTCTTTAGTTTATGCATGTTGTTCTGCTTTCTTGTTAGATCTAATCTTCTTGTTGATACTGTAAATGTTGCCTTGTCCTCCACACCTTGGACTGCCTGCAGGTTCATCTGTTGTCACAAATTCGTCACCAAAATCTTGTTTGCTTGGAAGGATTTTGTCATGAATCAAAGCAGCAGATACTAGTGTACGAGTATCTACCAGGCGGATCACTGGCTGATCACCTGTATGGTATGTTCTGCTTGACTAAAGGATGTAACATTTTCCTCTTTTTCTTTTAATTTTTGTTACATATCTTTAAATCTGCTCCTCTCATCTGACAAAATGCCTGGTTCTTTCTTGATGTTTGTTTCAGGTCCAAATTGTCAAAAAGTTTCGTTAAGCTGGGTTCGCAGACTGAAAATATCTGTTGATGCTGCAAAAGGTATGTCTAGCGTTCTGTTTCTAGCCCTCATATAAATTTACTAAGGAGGGACAGGAGCTGTGCAGATGAAAAAACCATGATGTCTCAGGCCCTCTTGCAATGGGAAAGATCCATTTTCTACATTTTGAACTTTTCATACCAGATGAATTAGGCTAGATATCATAACTTTTTCTTTTTTCAGATGTAAAGATCCTTTATACACTGATGAGATTCATATGGAATTCTGGATGAAAGATTTAGTCAATTTCTCTGTATAGGTTTATTACATTCTATTGCACGGGCAGTTAGCATAGTCTTCTTGTTTGCCACAATGGCATAGTTGCTTTCTTTGTGTGTGTGTGTGTGTGTGGGTGGTGGTTGTGGGGATAACAAAATGGTATAGTTATACAATTATTAGCAGAAACACCGGGCAATGGAAACTTTGGGCATAATTACTGTTATTCCTATATTCTAGACCTCCATCATTAGCCTTGTTTTTTTTCTTTCGAAGGGCTGGACTATTTGCATAATGGGAGTGATCCAAGAATCATACACCGTGATATCAAGTGCAGTAACATCCTTTTGGACAGTCAGATGAATGCCAAGGTCTGCGATTTTGGCCTCTCTAAGCAAGTAACCCAGGCAGATGCGACTCATGTGACCACTGTTGTCAAGGGAACTGCTGGCTATCTAGATCCTGAGTAAGTCTTAGTTAAGTTTATTCAAATGATAATTGATTCCTTTACTGCACCAACTCAGGAATAGATGTCTTTATCATTGACTGATTTTATCTGCAGGTATTATTCCACTCAACAGCTGACCGAGAAAAGTGATGTCTACAGTTTTGGGGTTGTTCTTTTAGAGCTCATATGTGGAAGAGAACCACTGACTCACTCGGGAACCCCAGATTCCTTCAATTTAGTGCTATGGGTAATTTAATTTTTCTTTTTCTTTAACAAGTTCTTCATTGTACATTGTAATTCAAATCCTGCACATTTTCAAGTTTGATTGCTGGAGCATCATGGTCTTAAGAAGGCAAATTAGTGTAAGCATGTTAACTGAAAAATGCTTAAAATTAAGGGTCAAGGTCCTGTGCAAATTTTAAAACTCTATATAATTCTGAAACTTGTATCTTAACACCTAGCACTAAACAACTGGCTCATATTGATTTAATGGCAGGCGAAGCCCTACTTGCAGGCAGGTGCATTTGAGATAGTGGATGACAGCTTAAAGGGAAGCTTTGATGTCGAAAGCATGAGAAAAGCAGCCTTAATAGCCGTAAGGTCTGTAGAAAGAGATGCATCCCGGAGACCAACTATTGCAGAGCTATTGGCAGAGCTGAAAGAAGCCTATAGTATTCAGCTTTCATACCTTGCAGCTTTGGGACACTCAGGTTAAGCTAGCGAATGCAAGATTAAAACAATGTTTATATTTATATTACAACTTTGAAAACTTTTCCTACAGGGAGTTGGTTTTTGGGGAGGTGAGGTATAAAGCCTTCTGCGGAAAATGAAGAGTAAGTTATGGAGCACAGGGTTATTTCGGAGTGTGTCTATTAAGAGTGTTATGTCTATCTATTCTGTCAATGCCAAGCAATAATAATTTTTTTTTTTTTTGAAAGATGATTTTTATTAATGATGAGCTGGAATGCCGTGGAGAGTTTTCAACGTTGAGATTTGGAGACTCCTGTTGGCATGGAAGCTATCATAAGAAGAG